TCGATAGGACAATTCCGAGAAGTCAAATGAGACCAGATGTGACTCGATATGGTCCTCGGTGGTGGAAGACTAAATGTATGGCTTTTATGTCAGTACGTTGCAATTGGCACCGTGGCAGCGGAAGCCACAGTAAGTGTCATGGAGATGATCTCTCTCTTTTCCAAGTGACAGAGTGGTTTTCTTTAATCACTAGCACTGTGAACCCAGATGGGAACGAGGTTATTAAGACAGGGCGATAATTGTTGGATTTGCAAGAAGCGCCTTCGATTAGGGATTAGATAGACGAGAATCGTTTCCCGACAGCTGGGAAATGTGATGAGAATGAGAGTTAGACAAGAGAAAAGGGAGAATGGAGAGAAACTCTGCCGAGGGAGACTTGAGCATAATTTGTGGAATACCATTTGGGTGGGTGGCTTGAATGTATCTCATGAACGCAGTGTTAGATGGACATGGCTGTTGGTGACTTTGTACAACATTCAGAACTGTCGCGATTAACGTCTGAGGGAAGAATGGTGGGTACATGCATTGCAGAACTGGTTGCATAAAGCCTTTTTGATCAAGGTGCAAATACCAAGAAAAGGGTGAGAAAAGAAAGTGATTTGATAATAGATCAGAAACAAACGGCTACCTAAAGTGAAGTAATAATTTTATTAGCCCTGAGACGAATGACTTTACTGCAAATTTATTCTAGGCTTGCACATAGCAGCGAATACAGAGACTGACCGTTTTGATGTTAACAGTAGTCGAGAGGTGTTAATCAGTGCTTGGTTTAAGAAAAACAATTGACCTGAAGAACTTTTGTGTCAAACCTTAACTTACAAACCGGGATTCCGAAAGCCACGTGATTTAGATATTTTTGCCACCGTTTAGTCCCAGTAGTGGCTGTACGGAATGTGAATATGCGGTTTTCTACGTGATATTGTGTTTTATGATCAGATTGAGAAATGTTTTTTAGATATCCGTAAACAGGATTCTTTTAACAAAAGTAACGAGTTTTTCGCCACCGGAATGT